AACATTTTGCATTAACTGTGCTTAATCCTTTCTGAATTGCCCGTAGGGCAGCATGAATGCCTGCTGTTGTTTTTATCTATTTTAGTTTTCTGGTACTAAATTGTTTTGAGTTTTTCATTAGTTTCCTTTCGACAAGTTTTGATTTGGGGTGTTCTTGAGGTAGGTTTCTTTCTTGGATAGTTTGCGACTCCTCAAAGGAGATTTCATTACAGAAGAGAGAGTTATTGGGGTCTGTTATCTTTAATTGGGGAGGAAGGAATCCCCTTCAAAAACCTGGGCGAGGCTTATCATGTTATTAACCTTCTCTGGGATTCTTAATCACTATGATCTCCTTCCTTTTTCTTCTGTCTGTAGGTTCTCCTGTCAAATATCTTGGAGGAAATTGTAGACGCACTCAGAGACAGGCGTGAAGTGTCGTATCTTTTCCTAAAACCAGTATCTAAGAAGGAAGCTCCAGATTACTTGAAGATCATAGAGCGGCCGATGGATCTTGCGACGATCAAGGAAAAGGTGAGGAAGATGGAGTACAAGAGCAGAGAGGAATTCCGACATGATGTGTTTCAGATCACGTACAATGCCCACAAATACAACGACAGGCGGAACCCTGGTATCCCACCTCTGGCTGATCAGCTTCTAGAACTCTGCGACTTCTTGTTAGAAGAGAATGCGGGCGAGTTATCTGAAGCTGAAGCTGGGGTGGGAATCTAGATGAAGAACCAGACATTTGTCGGTAGGTACGTAGTGAAATATTAATTTGCAATTTTCTAACGTATAGATTTGACTACATATTTGCTGCCCCCATTGGTGAAGTGAACATTATGATATACAGGAACAGGATGCAGAAGAAAGCTTTTGCATTGGAAACTCTTTGTTCGGGATGAAGGCTGTAACATGGAGGTTTCTTTTTGTAGGGGTTATCATGTCTTTAGTAGATCAGTCTCCTAGGGCTTTTAGTTTGCTGCTTCTGGAGAGATGGCGACTGATTGCTTGTTCGCCATTGGTGTGTAAAATATTAACTAGTTGTATTTCATGCGTACCTCACTTCTGTAACATATATGCGCCCAACTTATTGTACAAAAGATCTGATTATTTTCCATTTCAGTCAAAACATCTAAGTTGGAAAGAGGAAAGGAAGAGGAAATATCTAGCATGTATATAGGTGGTCAACGGTTAGTCGGTTATCGGACTTAAAAGATAATCGAATTGATAACAATGGTTAATTGTAAATCGATAATTAATTTTAGTTGTTCAGTTTCAATTAGTTATACTTTGCTTAGTGGTTAACTAATAGCAATCTACTAGTATAACAACATAGTTTTTGGTTTTGCCTGACAGGAAAAGTCCCAAGACTCAAAACCAATCCATACTGCAATACCAAACATCTCAATTCACATATTGCAAACAAGCACCCACCCAATGTCTCAAATATGTTTTATTGTCATACCAATCGCTAATTCAATCCATAACAGACAGTCGATAAGTCTTGTTGACTTGATCCTCAGTATGCAGACTTGATCCTCAGTATGCATTTTTTGCTAAGTAGTTAGCTTCTAAACGTCAATTAGTATATCGCACCCTTAGTCTGGGGTGCACAACATTCTCATTTTGATTATCCGATTCGTACGAGGATCAAGTCAATAAGGGTTCATTGTACTTTTACCTAGCTCTGCAGTCAAGCTGTCTAAAGTAGTAAATATCGACTGAGCTTTTGGATGAGTTGAATCCCCAGAGGTGAATACATGAGTTGTATCAGCAATGTTCACCCAGCTGCAACCAGCAAACTTCCTGGTTTCCTTCTCCTTCATCTCCTTCCTTACCCTTTGCATCTCCCCCCAGTTACCTTCCGTGGCATAAACATTGGCCAACTGCACATACCGACCTCCTCCAGCATCCATTCCCAGCTCGAGCATCGTCTTCTCCACCTCCCTTGCTAACAGCACATTCTTGTTTATCTTACACGCATTTAGAAATGCCCCAAGGACTACACCACTTCGTTTTTCTTCCTTTGGAATCCTTTCCATGAAGGATGCTGCCTCTTTCAGTCGATTAGCCCTTCCATAGAGATCGATCATGCAAGCATAGTGATCACTATCTGGAAGTATATAGTGAGTAGCTGTCATTGAAGCGAAAAACTCTTCACCCAATTCAACCAACCCACAATGGCGACAAGCTGATAAAAGAGCTATGAATGTAACTGCATCAGGTTTAATTCCCTTATTCACCATATACTGGAACAGCTCTATAGCTTCATCTGCGTGCCCATGATGAGCATAGCCGGCCATCATGACATTGTACATGACTAGATCCTTTTCTTTAACCTCAAGAAACAGCTTTTCTGCATACCCCAGACAGCCACATTTCAGATACATGTCTACTACTGCGCATATCATTTTGGCGTCCATTTCGGTTCCTGTTCTAAGTGCAAAGGCGTGAACTTGTTTTCCTGAGAGGAGGGAAGCTTGCAGTGCACAGGCACCAAGCACACTCACAAGGATCAAGCGATCGGGACCCGTTGCTTCCTTTTCTCTGAACTCGGTTAGAAGATCGAATACAGCTCCACATTGTTGTGTCTTGACATAACCTGAAAACAAAGATGCCCAAGCAATTGCGTTCTTTTCTATTAAGGAGTCGAACAGCTTGCGAGCTTGTACCATGTTCGCCTGCAATGAGTAACCTGTCACCATCGAAGTGATGGAGAAAGGGCTAGTGGTCCCAGAACCGAAATGCAGCGACTCTGCATAGTTCATCTTCCCACATTTGCAGTAGACATCAACTATACCATCATGTATAAATGGATTGGTAAGGAAACCATTCTTTAATACCCAAGCATGAATTTCCTTTGCAACCTTCAAGTTCCTCAAGCGAGAACAAGCAATCAAGAGACTGGCAAAAGTGTGTTCATCATACTCGATGTCTCTTTCTCGCATACAAACAAACAACTTAAATATCTCCTCCGGATGACCAGTTTGAACATAACCCCAAATCAAAGTATTCCAAGAAACTGTATCGTTCAACTCATTCTCCATCGTGAATACTGTATCAGCCATTTCCATTTCACCATGTCTACAGCAGGCTGCCACAAGGGTATTCTTGGTAACTGAATCAATAACATCCTCTTCGCACCCTTCGAAAACCTTCCACGCTTCCTTGAAGCATCCAGATTTCGAGTACATGTCAATCAAAGAACTGGCGGCAAACCCACTCAGATCATTACCCGTCTTCACCATGCGGCAATGCAGCTGCTTGCCAAAGCAAATCATGGACGACTTGGCACACAGGTTGATCATAGTGGTGAGAGTAACCTCGTCGACTCCAACCTCATCAGGGCGACTCCACATATCAGCAAACAAGTCCACTGCGAGACTCTCAAACCCACCAAATCGAACGTAACCAGACAGGAGGGAGTTGTAGGTGACGGAATCTCGCTCAGGGGCGGAGTCAAAGAGAGCCCTCCCTCGGGCCAAGTCGCGACTTTTAACGTGGGCGGATATGATTGTGTTCCAGGAGAAGAGGTTTCTGCGAGGCATTTCGTCGAACAGCTTCTGGGCATCGCGGATAAGACCATGGTTGGAGTATAGATGGATGAGCTGATTGCAGATGGGAACCGGCAAGGGGAAACCGGCCTTGACGGCGCGGCAATGGGCAGCGAGGTAGTGTATGAATTTTGACGAGTTGGGGCCCTTCCATTTCATGCATTACAGCCAGAAGAGAGGCAACCAAGAGGAAGAGTTGCGTCGCTCTTGTTACACTCCGCGCGCCACTCAGATGGAAAAGAGTTTTTACCCGAGGAAATCAGATTGTTGGCGGGAAAAGAAAACCTTGGAGGGGAAGGCAGGATTTGGGGAAGAGGGTAAAATAAAATTTAGGGTTGACTTCCAAATTTAGGGGAAATTAGTATTTAGTATGTCAGACAGTATTCAAGATGTCTATTAAAAATCATGAAATTATCACAGGAGTACCACATCATGAATACTAACATGATTACTCTTGATGTACCTAGTAATTTTTCCTAATTTAGAGCTCGCATCTCAATTGCAACATTTGTTTTGTCGAGCCACCTCGGTACCCTCGATAGCTTTGCTAGTCATAGTTTGCTCCAACCCAATCGAAACCCGTATAGGAAAGGGTCAAAAGTTAAGAGAACTCGATGGTTTCTTCCTATGTTTAGGGATCCTATGGAATCGAACAACCAAAATTCATGAGTTTGAGAATTGAAATCAAATCGAACTTTGGTAACTACAATCAAGACATTTGCAGTTTTAGATTCGAACCGATCTTCTCACTAGGCATAGTGTAAAAGCTCGTGCAGTCGAAAATCGAATTACTCTCCATGCAACTCTGGCCTTGTTGGAGGCATTGCGTTTCCTCTGCTAAGCTACTTCTCAAACTTCGACATCAAAATATATTATAACCACATTTCGAAACTGAGGATACACAAGAAAACTCAGTTTCGCCTTGCAATTGGATGAAGAATACTAGAAACACTAGATAAATGATCGAGGCCTCGAGGAGGAGAGCATTGTCATTGCAACACTTTGAATCCGAATTACTGGGGCACCTTAAAGACGATAAGATTAGAAAACCATATGGCTACACTTCTAACAAACTGAATGATGCAAACAGAAACTTCTAAGCTGCAAAACTTTCCCAGGCTGCTCAATACATCATCAGAAAGACAGAAACTACTCTGTTCCAAAATGTATGGCCAAAATGATACAACTCAGGCTCTCTGTACTTACAACAGCACTTACAAGCATGGCAAGTGCAGTCTTGTTAAATCATCTAACTTCAGGCTACCTTCTTGAAAATCCTATTTCACCCACAAAATGAAAAGGAAAAGAGATAAATTTTAACCACCAGACAGTGGTAGTATTAAACCGAAAATGATCTAAGGTGTGTATTCGGTGAAACCTGTGTGTTAGGGATGTGTCCAATTCGAACTAACAATCTCCATCCCAGGATGATTTTTTAAGAGGGCGTGGACACCCTTAGTCTTTCCACTAATTAATCTTGGGCTTCGCTCGTCCTGGCTTCAACACAACATATAGAAGACCAGCAACGATCAGAAAAGCAGGAATTGTTGTCATGTCGAAAACCACATGCACTTTCCGCTCTGTTGCACAGTGAATCGGATGCAGAAGAGCAACAGTTGCATTCACTTGCTCAGAAAACCTGCACCACCAACGGAAGTCTACAGCTTAGAAACAACAGTACACCAACAACAAAATTTGCTTCTTTTCATGATTAAACAAATTATGGCATAGGTCATCAATTATTTTTTTATTACTAAAAATATCTAATATAAACCGAAGCCTTAAAGAACATAGTTTCCCTTTATTTACACCAAAGATTATTTTAAAAAAGTAACCATTTTAAGCAAAAACAAACACACCCTAAGTTAAAAAAAAGGGTCCCAAGTGAGGTGAAGCAGAAGCCCATACTTTCGAAAACCATATCTCGCAGCATATTAGCAGACTCGAGAACAATAGAAGTTTCAGCAGTTGAAAATGACTTACACTTTAGTTGCATCCTCTAAGGTAAGAAGAAGTCTCATGGCATCCACATAACGCAGTTCTCCGGTAACAGTTGCAATCTGAAATGCGGGGACAAGATATCATGACGAGCTAAAAACTGATATATCAGAAAGTGACAATGGTAATGCAATTCTAGATAAGTCGGTATTAGGAAATACTCACCCTTCTCCACAAACTGACAACATAGTTATACTTGTTCACAAGTTCTTTCTCTTCAGAATGGAAAAGCTTGTACGTACTTTTAGCTATTTTAGGTTAAAGTCTTTTTCAGCAGAAGCAACATATAATGGATAATAACAGCACGAAAAAAATATATACTTCTCAAAATCCACACATAAAGCAGAATTTTGAAACAGAAGCAGTAAACAATGGCAGAAGGATACATGTCCTTTCCATGAGTAGACTACGTATAGCAGAATTGACTAGCTGTAGAGACTCCTCAAGTGTGGTGATTATATAACTCCGTGCAATTGTATCCAAATGGAACTGTGAGATGTCCCAGCCTTGAGATGTAATGGAGAATGGATTGCATCCAGCTGACCATATCCAGTCCTGTGAGTTAAGGGGTACAGCAAATTAGAGATAGCAGACTAGCAGCAACCGCTTTTAACACAACAGACAGGAAATTCTGCTTCAGAAGTATGTGCTTAGAAGTATGATTAAAGGTGTGCATAATCTTCTATGCGCATGTGAAACAAAAATAGCACGGTTCCATGGAGTTCAATGCTACAAAAAGGACTTAACAAGTCATTTTCTTTTTCTCGACAGCTGGGTGGAAAGCTGCTATGATGGGGAGCCATGTAACAATAACTTGCATTTTTTAATAAAAATGGGAAACATTTGAAATTTCAAGGTATCATACTTTTAGGTAAAATATTTGAAAAATGGAATTGCTAAGGGATGCTTAATGGTGCAAACTTTGTTCTACCTGATGTCAACATGCAGAAAATAGCCACAAACAGAAACGCTTCAACAATCCAAACATAATTACCTCAATTGCAGTTTCATGTGCATGGCTGTAGACCAGATGAAGAGGAAGTAAGCCGGCTAGATGTTCTGAAACAGCAGCCAGAGCAGCTTTTATGGGTCTCCTGAATAATGATAGTGAAACAAGAACCATGAAGATGTGTCGAAGATCAAATGGAAAGTATGCACTAAGCACAAGAAGGCTGACAAGACTTAAAACTACATCATGTTAAATCACTATATATTTAAGAATTGCCTCATTATAAAAGTCAAGTAATCCTTTGTCTAACCTCAAGTCCCACAGTAGTGATTGCCCATTACACTGGAGATGACTTTCCCATGATGATTGCTCGGACTGAACAACAACGATCATGTCAGAAAGCGCTTTTGCCTGATAGTGCTTGTCAACTAATAATGGCTCTCCATGAATAAACCAAAAGATGGGAACTTCAAGTGTGGATCTGGTATGGGCATGTGCTCCTGCATTATTGAAGTTGGGAATAAGAATCAACTTGACTTGCACAAGTGATGAGAAGGAAAATATAAAGTTGATACTACATCATCAATGGACTTGCAAGTTTTTGTTTCTACTTCCTTCGGTTCTAAGAACCTGTTTTCATAGGTCAATGAGATTCTCTTCAATCCATCAATAGTCAGTTTTGTGCCTGACAATGGCCTTCTACAGAATTTGCATATCAGAAGAACTTGAGCGGGAGATCACCTTTTAGAGAACCATGGTCATTCAGCTTCTGTAACTGATACTGAAGAATGGAGGAGTCAAGATATGTCCGAATAGTTTTCCTATAAGTCCCATTCACAAGCAAGAGTGGGACAGCTGCAGCTCGTCGTCCCACTGAAAAAGCCATGGCTAAAGCAGGATCCTCTGAAAGCGATAACCTAGATCCAGCTAGAGAATTAGGAACACACAAACTTTTCTATTACATGAAATAAAGACAAACCAATGGAGAACAAAGAGATTGGGTACATTTATTCCATACAGACTCATATATTTATGCAAGGGCGATTTGAGAAATTTAGACTTTCCAAAGAAAGGATGTACTTACAAATTTGGGCTGAAGATAGGTTTCTGCGAAGGTAATAACAAAGATGAAAGCCCATCCATGATAGCTTTGAGATCCACGGGTAGTTGTTTAATAGTCCTAACTTTCTGCATGAATAGATAAGTAATTAAGACGAAGCTTGATCTCCAGTCCAGACCTCCTTGAAAGGTATAAAACATTCAACATACCTCTTGTGTTATAAAGAACAACTGAAATGATATCTTCTCATAGTGATGGAATGCACCATCAGCAATCGAAGGTGAGATTATGTGGCGCATTGACCCCCAAAGAGTTGAACCTAAATGTGCAAGAAAGGTATCTCGTGCAACAGTGTAGTTCTGAAAATCCTGCTCGGAGAAGTAATATAAAACATCAGAAAATGCTACTAATTGAGGCATAAGCATCCTGCAAGCATATAGCAACAAACTAAAGCACTGGCATCCTAGAGAGATGAGGAAGGCAACTCATGTAGACAAGAACTGGGTAACAGACTCAATTAACAAGACCAAACTCCATTTTTACATCCAATACTGACAACTCACTTTGATTTAACATTAAATTAAGAGTGCCACATAAAAAAGAAACCATTAGCATGGGTTCATCAAATAAACTTTTTAATCTCCTGCCGCTTAAGCTCATCTTTGTGAAACTTCAACATATATATATCTATAAATTCTCTTAACTTCATCGGAGCTATTTTATAAAAAAAAATCTTAACAAAATAACACAATGGTAGTGCTAATTCAGCAACAGATCATGGTAGAGACATTCAGATTCTGCTCCTGAATCTAAATCAAAGAAGAGACTACTTGTAAAAAGCCAAATCAACATACCTCCTGGGTGTCGGTGAAAAGATTCCAGTTTTCCATTCGTTTCAATGCCTCCATGGCCTTCTTCTTATGACTCTCATCATTTTCTTCACCTTCTAAGGACTGAAGTTCATTTTTCAAGTCCCTCATTCTCTCATCAAGCTCTGAGACCACAAATATATGATAGATTGTAAAACAACAGCAACACAGCATTATTTGATATATTATACTTCAAAATTTATGACAGTACAGTCTGCCATCCATTTCACTGAACAAACTCACGCTGCAAGCAAATTAACAGAGATAAAAGAGACAAACCTTCACAAAGTGCTAGCTTAACTCTTCTTCCTTTACAATGCTTGAAAGCAAAAAGCTCGTAGATATCAATTTCAGCAAGAAGGATATCAACTGCCTGGTGATCTTTCTGCAACATTTCGGACAAAGATTAACTGGCTCAGATAGCTATCACGGAACTCATAAGACTTCTAACTAGATATAAGAAGATCTTGTACAGAAAGTGAATACAAGGCACATATGCAAGCGCGGCCACAAACTTAGAAATATGTGAGCAATTGGAGGTAAGCTTGTGCAGATCTTTTCCTTAATGGTTCAAATGATATCTCCCCCACCAGAATTGAACCAATAAGCTCAGCCACACGATTTCCTTTTCGATTTATCAATCACCCATGCAATGTTTTTAGGATTGCCAGTAGTTAACCAGTTACTACTGTCTCAGAGAGTTAGGGTATGACTTTGAACTCAGAAACAAACAACTGAAGCAAATATTCTTATTCAATAAATCAAACATACATCACCAAATATAGCAAACTTTTCCTGGATTGCTTCTTGCAAGCGATCTTCAGCTTCATCTTCAGAAATTTCTGGATCACGCAAGAGAAATTAGATACAGTATAAACTGACAACTGCAAAAGACAGCACAGGCACATACATATTGCAGCTCTGCAAGAACAAGCCAACAATATTAAGCGACTAGATTAAAGAAAAGGGAGAGAAGGCACTTGGAGAAGCATACTAGAGTGTACAAAAACTAACAGCATTTCATACTAATACCAATGAACACAACTGACAATTCAACTCAAAGTACAGTGTGGCAGTTATATCTAGTTACTCCTTATTTGATCCATAATGTTCCCATAAAACATAGTTTGCAGATGAGCTAGGTTACTGAACATGCTATCAGCAGAAATTTTGGGGAGGGGGGTGGCCCATCCACATTACCTGTAACAGCACCAATTGTTTTTTCCACATTTGGCAGACTAAGATCTGTGCGAACGCCTTCCCCACCAACAGCAGGACCCCATGCAAAAGGGCCAGCAGATAGATCGATGAAAGCCCACCTGGTGCAGAAAGCAACAATAATTGAGCCTTTACAATTCCATGTGGAGGTACATCAGTATGGAAGAAGAGAAGTTTGGCACCTGTCCTTCCCGATCCAGGTATCTGTGAGACATTCTGGTTGAACTCCAGCAAGGTCCCCAGCTTTTAGTTCCTTCTCCAAAAGAAGCTTCATGTATTTATTTTTTCCTTTCATAAGCTGGAGATCCAAAGAGGATAATTAATACTCATCAAAGAATCAACACACGCTGTTAGAGGATTGTCCAGCTTCTGGGGGGGTGTTCCCAGTCGGCAAAGGAGGGAAGGCTGCTAACCTGCAAAGCTTTGTTCAGGATGATTTCAGAAGTGTCTTTCCCTTGGTTCAACTTTTCAACATTATTGAGCGCATCCAGACAATTGTTATACCATTCGGCCTGAGGTCAATAAAACAATAGTCTAATACACCGTGATAGAAAGTTCACCATGAGCTCATACCTATTTTATGCATTTATCCATGAAATGGCTCATATAATTATATGTACACAGAAGAAAAAAGGACGTAAGTGCCAATTTCACAAGATAAACAAAGAAAACACAGACCGTATCAGCATCCTCGGCAACTGTCCAAGCAAATTTCGCCATAGGATGCTTTTCATACAAAGGTCTCTTGATCTTTTCGAGTGCTGCAGATTACAATCCGATCATTCCAAATTTGAAGCAAGCATTAAAACAATGATTAAATTTATTGCACCTCTGAATGGAAATGGATACTATAACAAAAGTTACTTCATACCAAGGACACTTTCTGGAACATTTCCCGACTCCAATATCTTCGTCTGTAGATTTTTATCCTGGAAACAAAAGTATATGTCATCGTGAAAGAACAGACTTTAAGAATGAAAGATAGACATAATTGTGCCCAATGAAATCATAGGAGCTTAGCTAAAATGATCCAATGACGCAAACAAGAACATAATACATACCCCATTAACGAATAAATAATAAAAAAAACAAGGGGCTCAAATAGAACCCAAACGACAAACCTTTTTCAGGAAATCTATTTCTGACTCCGATAAACCTCTCCTGCAATTCAAATTGAGAAAAACAAACAAGAATAAGCAAGAAATGAACAGTATAAACTTAAGCATAATGCCAAACCTAAATGGAAAATCAACAATTTATCAAAAAGAAGTGAAGTACAATATGAACTTTAAGGCAGCTAAGTGGCCTACAACTTAATATTTGATGCCCTGGTTGACATACAAATTCATAAAAGAAGCATAACATGTAATACACACCGATAGCCATATTTAGCTCTCTTCAAGTCGTGCTTGGGATTCAGAACGAAAATGTTGTAAGCGCTATCGAGTTCCAGGTATTCAACAAGGCTTGTGAAAATAACATCCATCATATCCATATCAACTTGCCAAAGCGCATCCTTCTCATCACTGGGAAAATGAACAGAAACCATAAGGCAAAAGAGGATCCATGATTTATGCAATTGTTAGCGAAATGAACCTGATTTCCATCTTCTCTCAATTCCTAAATCATTAAGCTTCAAATCGGCATACTCATGAAACATGACTTCTCTCTCAATATTCACTCCTACGACTATGTTAAAGCAGACGAAGACAATTTTAGCAGTCAACTGTAGCTTCATGAGAATTGCATAAATGACCATGCAATATATGCATGATTTTAAGAATGCTATTTACCCATAGCTACCTGCTTTACTACTTACAACTGACAATCAGAGTCTGCAAGAAGTATCAAATATCCAGTCATTAAATTCACATCAGACTTTAGATCCTAAAGAAGCTCTTGATTATATAACATTAGCATGTCAGAATTTCAGCTTCAGAAAGCAGTGCAAACATAGGAACAAGACTCCGGAGGTATATTTCACCTGTTACTTGATATGTCATCCTTGCGAGCCAAAACATTTATGGCATGCTCAAAGATTGAAGTGACCTTTTCACCCATTTCAATGGCGTGAACAGAAAAGCTGAAGGATCAAAGTCAGATATCAGAGTCGACGCATCAAACTAAGCACATCAATACATAAATTTAAAAAACAACAAACAAAAGCAACAGAGGAGTGCACTATTAGAGAATTCACTTGTAGTTTATGTGACTGATAATGGGAAGATGATGCCGTTGTCCTTTGTCAACACTGATTTTGTAAAATGGGGTAAGAACCTCTCCGATTTGAGGTACTCGTGTATGTTCAAAGATATGATCAATTTTTGTGAACCAACGCTCAAGTTCATCAGGATTGAGCTTGAAATCTACATAAAAAAGAAACCACAATCCATCATATAGCCTATGAACCCCTCAAATTATCAAGTGAAAAGAAAAATAAGAACATGAATAAGGAGCTTAAGATAGACAGCACAAGGAAAGAAATGGCAAGCCATTAACCTCGATTCCCCTTTCCTTCAAATCCAACAAAAATGAAATTTACGGGGACTGGTAGGTACATAGCATCCACTTCTTGAAGCATTAGATAATTCGCAATATTTCCTGAAATGCAAATTGTGTAAGAACTATGTTAGATGGATTTCTTCAGTCTACAACTAAATTATCACATCAATCTCAAAAACAACCAAGACATGATGTGCTTGTTTTAACTTATGTAAAAGTTAAGTTATAGATTAACAAATATATCTCTCAACTCCATATCTAATAATGTAAATAAACTAATGTTCATAGTGGGAGCAAAAGCCTATTAATTCAAAAATAATGCAGCATTCACAAATGTTAATTTCCATCTTTACTCCGAAAACAAGAATCTATTTTACCCTTTAAAGTCATTTCACAATAATCATTCATTTCTTTACCAATAACAGGAATATCTCACACTCCATCCTTGACCAGGCGACTGATACAAACGTCTGAACTGGCAGGCATCAGAATACTAACATTACTTGCATCTATCAGAAGTTAATATGCATACTACATATCATTGCCTGAGAAGCTAAACACTCTGCCCGCATTCGAGACAAAACTAACATATGAAACATTAACATACCCAATAATCATGTGCAAGCATGTCCAACCAGAAGAATGACCCAGACTTCTTTCATTTGAGAATCAGAGAAAGAAATGGGGAAGTATATTTAGCTGGACATAAACAAATTAGTACCAGGTGCGTCGCAGGATATGCGTGGACACTATACAGAAGCACGTTGGTAAGAATTATAGAAAATTACCTGCCTTGGTGTAATTTATAAGTCCCATTTTGGCAGGGTTTGAGGACGCCAAATCGTCAAAATCTGCTTCAGCGGAGTAAAAGTAATCATTCCCTGAACAGGGTGAATAAGTGGAAGCTTGGAGAAGTGTTAAGTGAACATACCACTGCGTATAACAGCTTCGCTCCAAAATCTACTCTTCTCTTTGAGATTGAACAGAGAAAACACAGACGACTTCCCGGATTTCTGAGTCCCATCTCTCGACCCATATGAGCTGGTTGCCGCCAACTGATCCGAGCATCAAGAGGTTGATTTTATGCATCAATTATCGTACAAATTTTTTTGTGATAACAATAAATGTATTATGTTCATTAAAGTGTGTCAATGAGTGATCCATTAAAGCGAATAGTTGATTAAAGTGTGACAAGAAGGAGATGAATGGATTAACTAATCGCTTTAAAGAGTGCTGAAAATATTGGTTGATCTACTATGAAATTAGGAAACACTGGCAGCTTGTGCAAATGAGGCTAATATGCTTCACATTCGACCAAGTAATATAAACCTCGGCTTAACAACCACAAGACCATGCAGATCACAGTACTGGCATATGACGTTGGAAAGATAAACATTCCGCTTGTGCAAATGAGGTTAACAAGCTTAACATTCTTCCTAGTAATATAACCCGCGCCTGATCAACCACATGAACATGCAGATCACAGTACTGGCGTTGCAACTGAAAGCTAGAAACCCCAAAACCACGGGAAAAGCTGCACCGGTCACAATCCAAAACCAGAAAGCTAAAGAAACCATTTTCCACCATCGCAAATTTAATTGAGCATTGTTTCGGTTCAAGCCTTCCCCCATTTCAGACTATCACAATTGAATAGCCACTCCACATAAGAGCACAAGGTCAGACAAATTGGAACACAAAAAAGCTTCAATCCGAGCATTGATATAACGAACGAACTAGCCAATCTACCAAGACCACCAACAAAACGGACCAAATTGATTACACACAAGATGAGAATGCTGCAATCTCATCAACAAACCTATGAAGGGCTCATCTACACCCAACATCGACACGCGTTGAAGTATTGACAATCGGAAATTGAAGACGCTAGAAGCGAAATCTCACCAGCAGAATTGCGGAGCAGAAGAAGAGGAGGAATCTGCAAGAAGTCATCGCAGAAGAAGCGGCGGAGAAGGCAGGGGATCGTCGATTACGGCAATGAAGGCAACGATCCCTCATTTTCATCGCTCCGTTTCCCTCTTCCAACTGGGTTTTTTATATCGCTGTAGCAACTGACTAACCTTCCGAGAAAAAATTGACTGGGTGAGTCAACAGGAAAGGGCTTCTCTTCAGTCTTCCTTCCCGCTTTGCTTTGCTTCGCTTCGCTTCAGTGGCTACTCCCCCTTTCTTCTCTTTGTGCTGGCAAGGTCTTCGCCGTTAAATATTAGAGACGCAGCCGTTGAGACTTACGACGTTGCCGGTCGATGCGGGGTGAAAATTACCACCATAACCACTACATTTATGCGATTTAGATGCCATAAACCCCTCAAATTCGACATCTTCTATTCAAGGTCCCTTAACTAAACCACATTTAATTTTCCTTCCTGAACTAACAAAATGTCTCGTTTTAATATATGTTATGACACCAAAGATAAGATAGGCTAACGGTAAAATTGTCGCGACTGTGAAAGTTTGGGAGTTGCAAATTCCAGGTTCGAATCCAAGCGAGGCCTGTTGGTGTTCCCGAGAGGTACAAGGCTGCTGGAGACGAAGCCTCATTGGCTTTGGCGTCGAATTGAATGCAAGTGGCCCCAAGTTAGTAGGCCCCGCTGTCTATGGCAAAACTCCTACATACAGATCTCTCATCCAAATAACCAAAAAAGCATTTTTTTCGATTATTAAATTGATGCATTGTGATCACTACATATCATATTAAACATGCATTGTTGATTTCGTGTATTGTACATTATAGTGTTTGATATATGTGATTGTGTTTTCAATAACGAAAAAGTCACTTTTTAACAAAAATGTCACTCGTATTGTATTCATTCTCAATGCAAAAGGTGAATTATAAAGGTTAAATGTGAAGAAAAAGAAAGAAAACAATTTCAACAATCTCAAAGTTGAGATTGTACAATCATTCAAAATCAAGCAAACATACATGTAATTGTACATGCATAAAATAAGAAAAATGTATTCCCTCTCGAAACCTCTTCTTGCTCTTGGATTGGAGATGCTAGGTCGAAAGTCGAAATTCCCTTTATTTTCATGCCATTTGAGGAGCATTAGAGGTGAAATTTGGTCACAATTTTTTGGTCAAATTAAAAACTCGGATCGTACAATTAAGTATGAATGCAATCAAAAACTAGTTATAACACGGTTTGGTCTTGTATTGTATACCATGAGGATGCTAAATTCTCTATTTGGTTTGATTAAAAATTAAAAAACCACGAACAAGGGATTGGTCAAGTGGTTATACCACTAGCCATGAACTTAGAGATCACAGGTTCAAGTTCATTCAGTAGTACCTAATAACAAAAAAAGTAACCTATATCACCCTTATCTAAAAAAACCAGAAAAATAAACCTTGTGTCACTCCCCTCATGTTTCAGCCCACTTCCCAAAAATCCAAATGTGATTGATCCACCACCCCAACCCACTCCCAAACCATGTCCACCATGGCATGACCCAACCCATCCCTTCCTCGTTCACATTTCACAGAGATAGAGAGAGTTTATCCCTAACCCCCAGCTTTATGAAATCCCTAATCCTAATTGATGAGTTTGTACTTGTGGGTCACCCTCTTAGTCTTACTCTCGCTACTTTCTGGTCGACGACCACCTCATCAAAGAGATAAAGAGAAAATCATATGAACCCACGATGACAAACGATCGAGTGGTGGTCGACAACTATGTAGGCATGAACGTCTCTCGAACTTTCTACCTCTTTGACTGCCTCTCTATAACTTTGAACCTGTCTACTAGAGATTCAATTCCCCTCTTCATTTCTACTCTCAACTCTCATTTGTCTAATCTGGCACCATCAGAGTCAAAATGAGTAAGATATAATCTCATCGCGCCCACGCAAAATGGTGGCAGGCCCGACACCAATCTTGTTTAGTAGTACACAAAATCGAGTAATAGGGAGGGGCTTCCTGAGGGAGTTTGCGAGCTAATGTGCAATGGGAAAGGGGTGAACGTGAAGAGCTTAGGACTGCACGAGTTGACGAACGAAATGAAAGTCAAGGGCCAAATGCTTCATACCGGAGTGGAAAACTGGATTTGCCAAGAAATTGACGGTGTCGAGATTGTCGGCGTAGATAGTTAGTGCAACATGGATGGGTTGATGAAGTTCGGTTAACAAAATTTTGGACCCAAAGTAACTTATTCGTGGCATGACATATTGTCGATACTCAGCCTCCGTGTTTGAGCAAGCAACAGAGTGTTGCTTTCTGGACTTCTAGGAGATGAGATTTCCACCAAATATATAAGAAATGTCATGGTGGACGTTTGGTCGTCAAGATCCCTTACCCAATTTGAATCAACAAAGGCAATGAGGGATGAACTAGTAGATGGAGTGAGGCGAATACCAAGCGTAGGAGTGCCTTTGAGCAAGCAACAAAGTGTTGCTTTTTGGACTTCTAGGAGATGAGATTTCCACCATAATATATAAGAAATGTCATGGTGGACGTTTGGTCGTCAAGATCCCTTACCCAATTTGAATCAACAAAGGCAATGAGGGATGAAGTAGTAGATGGAGTGAGGCGAATACCAAGCGTAGGAGTGCCTTTGAGGCAGCAGAGCAATCGTTTAACAGACGACCAATGGAATTAGGTAGACGCTTGTATGAACTGTGCTAGCTTATTGATGAAGAAGGCGACGTCTGGATGAGTGTAGAGCAAGTCCTATAGTGAACCCAACACCTGTTTGTAGAAAGTGGAGTCCGCTAGAGGGGATCCATCAACGAGAGTGAGCAGGGTTGTAGACGATAATGGAGTCTGATACATGCAAAACAATCGAGAACGTTGGCAAAAACTTGTGATTGGAAAGGAGGAAACCGAAAGAGGTAAGGTGAACTTCGATACCTAGAAAATAACTCATCGACCCAACTTGATTGGGAGAGAACCGAGCAGCAAGACGAGCTTCAAATTAATTTAGGAGAGCAATATCTTTACCAGTGAGCAAGAGATCATCGACATATATATCAAGAAGTAGAGAAGATCACCGGCCTTGTGGTAGACGAATAGTGAGGCATCGGAGGTAGTCTTAACTCTTAACAAAACCTCGTGTTGAAGAAAGGTAGAAAGCTCCATGTACTTAGCCTGGTATAGACTATAGATCCGATGTGTGAGACGACATACATTATTTGGATAGGTAGAGTCACGAAAATCCGACGGCTAAGCCATGTAAATAGTCTCCTGTAAATTACATTGAAGAAACACAATATAGCTTTTGCAGAAACAGCTTCTGGCTGGAGCTTTTAGATAGTACTTAAAAAAAAAGCAGTTGAGTGTTTGGTTGTAAAACTATTAGAAGTGCTTTTTAATATGAGAATTTGTGTAAAATGACTATAAATGACTTATAATATAAAATATGAATAAAAATTCTAAACAATAAAAAATAGTCAAAATGGATCTTGTTAGATTTCTTTTATATTAAATAATATGATTTTATAATTTATTTTATTTTTAAAATGATATAAATGAAGTAAAAATTATATTTTCATTAAAATATGGTAAGAATAATCATGTATTTTCAAAGCAGTTTTCGCAGAAACTCCAAATCGGAGCTTCTACTTTTATGTTATACAAAAACGCTTTTTCGGCTTTTCAAAAGTCAAACTTTTAGAGGTGTTTGGCCCTGCTTCAGCTTTTGAAGCCGAAAAGCACTTCTAAAAACCGGGCTAAATATAGACAATATTCACATAAAATTGAGAGATATGCCAGTGATGATTGAGAGCAATCTTGAACGTAATACTGATTACCGACTTGAGAACATGGTTGTATCTTGTATGTGTCGTGACTAGTAAAAATAAATGTATGAGCGTTAAGTGAAATCTTTGACTACCAAACGAGCTTTTGAATAGATCAATTGAGCCATCTGGCTTGTATATGACCAAATTGTTTCTTCCCCTTTTTCGTTCTTGGTCCATGTTGAAACTTGAAAGTCAGTAGTATAATCAATATCGGAAACGCGAGCTACTCTCTTTGTGGTGTGTGCAAGAGCAAGTGTAAGTCTAGGGGTGTACATGGATCGGGTGGTCCGGGTTTAGGCATTTTAATCACCCGACCCATGCATTACGGTTTGAGAAATATTAAACCCAAACCCACCCAAAAATAATTAAACCCTACGGTTTGTTTCTAATTGGATTGGGTCGGGTTGACGATATTTTTAAGTAAAAACCCAACCCAACACAAAATATGTAATTATTCTACACCATAAAAATATTTTATAACAAATTAAAAATTCAAACGAATAAACCGAGGTGAAAGGTATCAAAATTCACAAATATTGTTTGAACTTTAATAAAATTTTATTTACTTCAACTTATGTCTAGTTTTTTTTCACGACATTTGTTGAAATAGGCTAAAAAGGTTACAAATGAACGCATCCATAATATGTTATTCTATTAAAATTGTACACAAGAAAAAAAATTACGTGAATCATAGGTATATTAAATCTATGTCTAAACTTTAAGTCGAAAAATGCATTAGATTAGTGAGACCTTAAGAGAAAAACATGGCAAAATATCTTAATTTTCTCATAAGTATGACTATATATGACATAAATATTTTTTTGGATACGAACTCATACCAATAATTGGAACACGGGTTGGGTCGGGTTCTACGGGTTGTGTAATCCAAAATCCAAACCCAACCCAATAGAGGCGGGTTGTACAAAAGAAAACCCCCACCCAACCCAAAACCTTCATTTTAGCGATAAATACCGGTGGGTTGGGTCGGGTTGGACGGGTGGGTCGGTTTGCGAGTGTGTTTGTTCACCCCTAAGTGTAACCCATCTAGCTTCCCACTCTCTCTAGTTCTAGTAGTCTAGTGTCTACTGACTAGGGGTGGGCATCCGGTTCGGTTTTACCGAACCGAAACCGAAACCGAACAAAACCGAACCGAAACCGAATAGCATTGTTTCGGTTTGGAATTCGGAAGGCAAATCCCCACATTTCGGAAACCAGGGTATGCTCAACCGAAACCGAAATCCGATTAACCGACCGAAAAACCGAAATAAGTA